GCAGGAACATGAGTTGACGCACATTCGTACCAGGCTGTATGCTAATTATAAATAACTGATTTATTTGAAGACACTTCGATAGTAAATATACGCTCTTTCATACTAGAGAAGAACCAATAACTTCAGATCTGAAAATGAACATGTGGGCTTTAATTCTGTTAGTTCGTTCTTTCACAATCATTTAGTTTGTAATATGACACGATGAAACTCAATGTCTTCGATAACAATTACAAATTTTGAGAAAAGTTAATTCCAGAGTCTATAACGTTTATACAGAACTTCTAGACTTGGACACATTTCCACATATCAAATGTCTACTTCATAACCTTAAGCTAAACAGATACTAAACTGAAGATAGACAACTATTTGAAAATATCTGTCAGTATATGTAATACAAGAAAATTTCTTGACAAATCTCAATGACTTAAAATGTTGAAAATACACATAAATAAAATAATTTCAGCAAAACTTTAAATTTTAACCGTTTTGTCGAAACGTAACAATCAGTTTCTAGTCTTCAACACTATGAGCTATTAATTTTGAAAAGTGTTTTGCACTACAAAATCAAGGACACTTTTCGGGAAAAGATTATAGAGTTGTTATTCGTGCCGTTTGGTATTTAATCGAAACTAATTTTTAGAATTCGTCAAATTGATGAGTAATAAAAATGAATAGTTTAAATCTTATGGCAAATTTATACTGAAAAGAACACATTAGAAATAACTTTCCAGAATAGTTACCTATCAGTAAGTAATCGACTTTAAATTTGGGCATCGCTAAATAGCTCAACATTAATATTTGATTTCCAGTTTAAAGATATTAGATTCGATTTTGATATACAGTCAACGGAATCCTCAAATAAAAGACTACACTAATAAATACATACTTACTTACTTTCGCCTGTTACTCCTCGTGAAGGAGCATAGGCCGCTCACCAGCATTCTCCATCCAACCCTGTCCCAAGCAGTCCTTTCCAGCTCTTTCCAGTTCTTATTCAAACCTTTCATACCTGCTTCTATTTCCCGACGTAATGTGTTCTTTGGCCTTCCTCTTTTCCGCTTCCCTTCAGGATTCCAAGTTAGCACTTGTCTCGTAATGCAGTTTGATGATTTCCTCAATGTGTGTCCTATCCATTTCCATCGTCTTTTCCTAATTTCCTCTTCAGCTGGAAGCTGGTTGGTTCTCTCCCACAAAAGGCTGTTGCTGATGGTATCCGGCCAATCGATGTTGAGTATCTTGCGTAGACAGCTATTGACAAGTACCTGTACCTTCTTGATGGTGGTTGTTGTAGTCCTCCAAGTTTCAGCTCCGTACAGTAGAACTGCCTTGACGTTCGTATTGAAGATTCTGACTTTGATGTTGGTTGAAAGTTGTTTTGAGTTCCATATATTCTTTAATTGAAGGAATGCTGTCCTTGCTTTTCCAATCCTCGCCTTTACGTCTGCATCTGAACCTCCTTGTTTGTCGACGATGCTTCCCAGGTATGTGAAGGATTCCACATCTTCCAGAGTTTCGCCATCAAGAGTGATTGGATTGCTGTTCTCCGTGTTGTGTTTGAGGACCTTGCTTTTCCCTTAGTGTATTTTGAGGCCTACTGATGCAGAGACTGCTGCTATACTGGCTGTCTTTGTCTGCATTTGTTCGTATGTATGTGATAGGAGGGCTAGGTTATCTGCGAAGTCCAAGTCGTCTAATTGGTTCTGAGCTGTCCATTGTATGCCGTGTTTTCCCTCAGATGTCGAAGTCTTCATAATCCAGTCGACCACCAGAAGAAAGAGGAAGGGAGAGAGTAGACAGCCTTGTCTTACTCCGGTCCTTACTTGGAATGCATCTGTCAGCTGTTCTCCATGCATTACTTTGCATTGTAGTCCGTCGTATGAGTTCCGGATAATATTGACAATCTTCTCAGGAACTCCGTAGTGTCAAAGAATTTTCCATAACGTTCTCTTATCTACACTGTCAAATACCTTCTCATAATCAATGAAGTTGGTGTACAGTGACAAGTTCCACTCAATTGATTGTTCGACGATGATCAGTAGTGTCGCAATTTGGTCTGTGCATGACCGGTCTTTACGGAATCCAGCTTGTTGATCTCGAAGTTGAGCGTCTACTGAGTCTTTCATCCTGTTCAGTAACACTCTGTTAAAGACTTTTCCTGGTATTGACAGTAGTGTAATGCCTCTGTAATTTTCACACTTGCTCAGGTCTCCTTTCTTTGGAATCTTGATGAGGTGTCTTTCTTTCCAATCCATCGGCACTTGTTCCTCTTCCCAAATCTTCTTGAATAGAAGATGAAGCATGTTTGTAGTTACTTCGATGTCTGACTTCAGTGCTTCAGCTGGTATATTGTCGGGTCCGGCTGCTTTCCCGCTCTTGATTTGTCTGATGGCCATTCTGATTTCTCCCGTCGTTGGTGGATTTACATCTATAGGAAGATCTGTGTAAGCTGCTTTGATGTCCGGTGGATTCATTGGAGCCGGCCTATTCAGGAGTTCTTCGAAGTACTCTGCCCATCTGCTCCGCTATTGCTGAATCTCAGTGATTGGTCTTCCTTCTTTGTCTTTGACTGGTCTCTCTGGTTTACTATATTTCCCTGATAGTTTCTTCGTTGTATCGTAAAGCTGTCTCATATTTCCTTCTGTTGCAGCTTTTTCCGCCGTCGTTGCTAGTTCTTCCACGTATTTCCGCTTGTCGACTCTAATGCTCTTCTTCACTTTCTTGTTTGCTTCTATGTACTCAGCTTGTGCTTGGACTTTCTCTGTTAGTGTTCGACTATTGTTAATTACTGTCTTCTTGTTTTTCCTTTCTTTGATCCTGTCCAGTGTTTCTATGGAGATCCATTCCTTATGATGATGCTTCTTGGGGCCCAGAAACTCTTGACACGTTAAAGTTAATGCTTCTTTGATACCTTTCCAGTTATCCTCCATAGTAGATTCTTCTTCCTTCAGTAGATCATGTAGGGCTTGGAACCTGTTGTTGAGTGCTATCTTGAATTCACTGAGTGTGTCAGTGTCTCGAAGGAAGGCTTTATTCAACCATTGCAGCGCTGTTTGTCCAGTTGTCCAGTTCTTCTTTAGCTTCAGTTTTAAATTGGCCACAACCAGGTGGTGATCTGAAGCTATATCCGCTCCTCTCCTGGTTCTCACATCTTCCATTGTCCTTCGGAACTTTTCATTGATGCAAATGTGATCTATCTGGTTCTCTGTGGTGTGGTCCGGTGAGACCCATGTAGCTTTGTGTATACGTTTGTCTGGAAATATTGTGCCGCCTATGACCAATTTGTTGAATGCACACAGATTTGCAAATCTTTCCCCGTTTTCGTTTCTCTCTCCCATTCCATGCAGTCCCATGATGTCTTCATATCCGGTGTTGTCTATTCCGACTTTGGCGTTTAGATCTCCCATCAGAATGGTGAGGTCCTTTCTTGGGCACTTCTCTATGATTGATTGCAGACTCTCATAGAATTGATCTTTAATGTCGTCGTTGCTATGATTGGCGGGTGCATAACATTGGATAATGTTCATTGTGATACCCTCCTTCTTTGTTTTGAATGATGCTTTGATGATTCTGGATCCGTGAGATTCCCATCCTACAAGTGCATTTTGTGCTACTTTGGACAGCATTAGAGCAACTCCCTGAGTGTGTGGAGCAATTTCCTCTTCGTGACCGGAGTATAGCAGCATCTCTCCCGTATTTAGCCTTTGTTGTCTAGCTTGGGTCCAATGGGTTTCGCTGATTCCGAGTACTGCCAAGTTGTATCTTCTCATTTCCGTTGCTATTTGGCTGGTCTTCCCGGTCTCCCACATTCTCCGGACGTTCCATGTACCTATAAAAATTGTTGCTCTGGTTGTTAGAAGGGGCATCGGACTCGTGACTTCCGAAGGAACTCGGCTTTCACCATGAGGTGTCATATTTCTTTTAAATGAAGACCTTCTAACTCCCAGGGTATAGTTTAAATGGTTTCAGTTATTTTTTTCTGGTTAGCGTTTTTTTAGCGAGTTAGTTTTTTACGGGACGGGGACGCTAACCCCATGCCTAACCCTCCTCCTATATCCGGGCTTGGGACCGGCAATAACTCTAGGGGAGCTACAGGCGGAGTTACACTAATAAATAACTAGATATTATTAGGTGTCATAGTATCTGGTTATTGGGGATGATCAGATCAGATTCGCTGTCTAGCTATTAAATTAAGTGACTCGATACCACTACCCACCTTGTTAGATATTTTCAAATAATTAACTGAGGATTATAAACGGCATTTTCGTATTAAAAAAATACCTATCAGTAAACCACGTTTAAAATTTCGTAGAAGCTTCACCTCTTTGAGAAAATCAATCCTTAATGACACAGTATAGCAAAGATTTAAAAACTTAGCCCTTCATATTTATTATTTATAGAAATTAAGTCATTGGCAATTCTTTTATTTTCCTGGAGGTGTCAAGCAAATTCTCCATGGACAAAGTAATTTTCATCTGTAATCTGAGAATTTCAGCTAGTATGAAATTCACCAGAAATGAAAAATATTTTTTTGATTAGTGTATGGGATGGTAAATCTTTAAATTTCAACTCCTTGTCTGACAAGAATCGTACCCATCAAGAGATTTGAGAGCTTTGTATTCTAAAATTAGTATGTAAAAATATTTGGTAATTCATTGACTTAAATAGTTCTGAAGTATATGTTTAAAATAGTGATGATAGGAGACGAAGTTAAATAGATCTCCACAGAAGTTTGATCAAATATCACGTTCATTTGTTGACTGTTAGCAGCCGTATATATATATATATATATATATATATATATATATATATATATATATATACATGGCTCTTAGTTCTATATGAGACTCAATTACAAAGTAAATTAACATTGATATGTCAAAAATCCTGAGATAATGTCGAAATTATTCATTATTGATATTTCTTTACATTACATCTTAATTATTTAACTACTTATTTATGCTATGACAATTGTGATTGTATTCAAATTTATTATTTTTCAGGTACAAAGATTGATTCACAAAATCCAAAAGAAAAGATGATTGCTTTAGCAGTCTATGTAGCTCTTGGCCTATCTTTATTTGCAATGTGTTTCAATTTAATGGAAGAAGAAGTTACAGCAAAAATGAAAAGAATAGGACGCCGTATAGGTGTTACAAAATCTAAAAAAAAGAAATCAAAATCTTAGTTATCATTTATAAATATATTTTTTTATTTTATCATTGATTTAATCAACTCTGTCAACTCTATTTCCATTATAATCTTCATTCAAATTTTCATCTAAACGAATAAAATTCCCACAATGAATTAGAGTATAAAATAAATTGGAGGAAATCATGGTACATAACTCATGACCAAGAAGATTTACAAATGAAATAAAAATTATTTATACTTCATAATCATTTGAAATTCAAGTAGTTTATGTGATAAATTTTTATATTAGATATAGTTGTTTAAAAATTATAAATTATAATATTTGTCTTTTTAGTTTCTTACTGAATCATATCTAATTGTATGATTTTAGTCATTTAAACTAACTATATTGTGCTACTTATTTTTATTAAAGTAGTTAGCATGATTATCACTAAAGAGGTGATGAATTGATTAAATGCTCACTATTGATAAAAATAGATCAATTGAGTAAGATCAAAAAGGAAAAAATAAAAGGAAATCTTTCTTTTTTTTCTCAGATTTGTTGTGCTGTTAATTATTAACAATGTGAAAAACATGATATCTGAAAGAAAATCACTTTACCAACACCATTTTTAAATAAACTAGGTCATATTTATTACTTTATCTTTCAAAGTAACAAGTGAAATACATTTATTCAGATTACTACATATATTCATTATTATTTCATTTAAGACCTATCAAATGTCAAGTGTGCACTATATATACATGTATAACAGGATAGAGTTATCGTAATTTTCACTGTAAAATACCAAAAATAGATTTCAAAAAAAAAAGAATCGGAAATAATCTTTCGTTCTGTAAATATGCCAAGAATATTTTAATAGTTATTTATAATGAAATATTTATCTACTTGTCAAAATGTAACAAATCACAATTTTATCTATAGTTTATCCAGTTGTGATTGATTGTTTTTTTTCTTTCTGTTTTTCTTTTTTTGAAAAAAAAAATAGATAAACAGCGAGATTTCTATGGTAGTTAATTTTTTTTAAAAAAAGAGGGTTTATGTCAAATATGTTGTCTATTAATCAGAATTTTAGATGTTCTCTTAAAGTGACTTACCTCCAAAATGCCCTGGTAGAACCGAAAGTAGAGATTCAGCTCTCCCACTCGAAATGCTCTCATACGGCCCCGTGTATATAGCCTCTACCAGGGAAGTACTACTCACTGACTTCTCGCACCAGGAGTGTTGGTTACGAAAGTCAGAGGACGAAAAGAGAAGGTCTGGCACCGGCTTTAACAGGGTTGGTGGACACGGAGAGTCCACCTAAGGGAGTTGGAAAATCCTGATTCTAAACCAATGGTGAACATGAGCTCCAGTATCCTGAGGGAACAAATGGAGTATGAAGCTGTTGTTGGTCACCAGCTACCACGGGACTGCATCTCCTTACGATGTTCCACTGCTTTGTTAATCAGACCTTTAGGTCGAAGGCTGTGGGTATGGTCCCCTAGGAAAACAACCTGCTTCGGTTTGGGCACCCAGGCAGTATCCTAGCTGTTACATAAATTGAATGATTTATGTGGAGCTCATCTGTTTGGTGCCTCTTTGTACGTACGTTTATGTGTTTAAATAAATATTTGTTAAAAACTATTTCTTGTATATGTGTTAAAAATAATTAAATAAGTTAATATGTGAATTTATATCGTTTAATAACCTTCGTTCAAGGATATTTAGTTCTCCGCTCAACACAGTATACAATGTAGTCTATTATAAGAAGTTGAAACTTAAAACAAGATCTGTTTTAAGTGAATGCATTTACGATTTAACAGGCATCGATTTTTCCGGGATCTATTCTATAATTTAGAATGTAAACCAATTTAATAAAATAATGATATATATATATATATATATATATATATATATATATATATATATATATATAGTAGATAAATCGATAAATCGATTTTACCACTTATAGACTTTTGTTTACGATGTACTTATTTATAATTCTATATCAATGGAAGCCACCATATCTTTTAGTAACACTTCATCATATTTCATCCATTTAGAAATAAAATTGTCTGAGTCATTGAGCTATATCGATTAGAAGATTCGCTAATCAGAATCCCGACGATTTTTTTGCACATTACGTGTGCTATATCGTCTATATTTTATATCCTTCGCTTTAGCCAATGATATGTCACGACTGATACGAATAACCTTGGGATAACTTAATTCTTATTGGTCTGGCGGTACACATGCCTTTTTTTATCTTCAATCTTGAGCCCGTAAAGTGTTGACAGAAACCAAACTTCTATTATCATACTTTCAACCACCTAGAACTTATTTTTAACACTTATTAGCTTATATACATGAATTATCGAACTACAGAGCACGCAAATTCAATTATACTTTGAATAGAATCATACCATAAGTAAAACGTATAACAAAAATTAATAGGTCCATTGGAATTTTACAATGAAGAAAATGTAGAAATACAATAACAGTTATGTGCTAACTAAATAATCAAAATACAAATGACAATATTCTGTAAATTATTCTCAAGAATTACACTTTTTTTATTATTCACTCTGACACTATCAATATTGGTGTTGATCAATTCATGTATTATTATTATTGGCTTCATTTAATATTACATTTCTGGTGTAATATAGAATTCTCAGCACAAAGTATTTCAAAAAGTTTCGTCTTTTATTTCTTGATCGACCCTTGCGATGAATGTTGAGTGGTCGCCACTTAGATGTTAGCAGTTCAGGAATAGACATCTTTTCGATGCATATTGAATATTGGGCTCTTTTGTAAGTTGTACAGCGAAATGTCGTAAACTTTCTACAAACGTACTTGAATAGATTATGCGACTAATAAGTATAATGATGTGTGAAAACAAACAAGAAAACAGATAACTTTTTGAAATATCTAAATGGCAGGACACAAATAGCCCAGATATTCAAGCAGGTCGCCTTGCCATCGAAGATATAAGTATAAACTGGACCATTATAGTGGACTTATGATTAGTGACAATGATAAGATTTAAAAATGATCTATAACAAAATAAATTTTATTTTAACATTAAACAACTAGACAAAATGACGGTTTGAAAATAATCTTAAACCTTAACAGGATCATAATAACATCATATTCATTTAACTATGTAGCCATAATTTGATTGATAAAATTCAATCAAAACCAAAAACTAAACAATATGAAATTGATTATTGTTTAATAATCAATTAATCTAAGTTTACGAAATATCTTCTACTAATTGTACGAGGTATATATAACCAAAAACAATAAATTTGTTAAGATTCTCTAAAGAATTGATACAAGATGAGTATAGGGAAATTTGAACTTTCAAAACTCTCTTACCTGAAATTAGTATTTATATTTTTATTCTTTAATTATTAAATATTTAAATTATTGTATTCTCCTGCTAGTAGACTTTTCTGTGATTTATAAATTGTTGATGTGTGTTATACCTTTCTAAGTAACTATTAACTTATTATGAACCTATTATTCAATTTTCATCCAATTATGAAGTAGTTATTACCGTTATTGTAATTTTCTTTTCATAATGATTTATGATCAATATTTTAATCTATATTATTATATGAGTTTTAAGTCATGATTAAACTGAGTGTAATAGATACTGGCTACTGACTTTTTTTGAACTGAAGGCAATAGATAAACGACTTACAGATAACTGATCAATAAGAGCTTGGTTTGAATCAGCTCAAAGTCAACGATGTAGATCAGATATATAATTAGTCAAGTCTAGGGCATTAGACTATAAAATAAGTAGACGTGGAACAGAACAATTTATAATTAGAACTCTGATTGGAGACTTACCCATGTGATATCGATCAACGATCTCAAGTCATAACAGACTGTCTTAACTATATTTCAGGTACTTAACAATATAGCAGATAACCAATACCGATAAGTACCAACGCCCTTTCTGATTTGTTCTCGTTGTTTTGAACACCCAGAAATTCAAATGATTTATTTATGTGTTACCTAAATTTTTTCCACTAAAAGATCTTTCAGCTTACTGCATTTGAGTGAAACTAATATAAGACTTATTCATCATGTCAAATCATACGGATAACCATTAGCAAATAGTAATAATGATAATAATTTATCAAACACTAGAATTAAATTAGTTAATTGATCAAAATTAATGGCAGGTAGATCACTGAAATTCGAATCGAAAATACAAATATTTCTGAGTAAAAACTGAGAATATGAAAGGTATATTAAAAAAAGATTTAGGATATTTAAAAATAACAACACTATTTTAATTTGAATTACAAATATACGAATTAATTTGTTATAACACTCGGTTTTACTTCGTCTAATGTTATAACGGTTAAGTTTCCACGTTTACATGTATGGGATGTTAATTTACCTTAGACAAATATCTATACTAGATTCCCTCCCAGTGTCTATTCGAAACGACTTCAACTCAACTCAGATCAAGAACACGTGATTAACCTGATTAGAACGTAAATATATTTCCACACCAGAAACCTGACACAGTCCAACAATAATGAACAATCAATAGTAATAATTATAAGGATAGGGGAATATATAACTCATCTGACACCTATCAGACTATCTACATGTTTGACTAAGCAGACAACTAATCATTATCATTCTCGCCCACACATCATAATCTTTTTTTGAATCATATCAAAATTACAACATACCTCTTTATTATTTTTGTATAGAGTATATGATATTCCCCTTTAGCTTGTTAAATACCCATCAGCTCAAACAATCTACATAATTATGTTAATGATCAACAAAAGTCAAAAAACATAGCTTGGTTGCTTCTGAGGATACATTCAGTCATAAGATTTATTCACTTTTTACAAGATTTATGTATTTAAAATCAAATAAACTGTAAGAACATCTTTGTTGGAAGAATAACCGTTTATAATATTGAAGAGCGAGTTGTTACCTGAATATATACAACTGATTTTTTGATAACTAGCCTTAGCTAAAGTTATCTACGTTGTTTATTTTAATATCAAGTATTATCCAAATTAAAAGATTAAAAGTGATATAAACTAGGTTGTAGAATTATTATATTCTAACAAGGTCTCAATAAAAAAGTTCTTTACTCAAACCATCATATATATTCTGAAATATCAATCTGAGTAACACAGAATGACTTTGATTACTATTTTAATTGCTTAGAATACTATCATTTTACAGTGCACATCCAGCTGACAATTCTAAAATAGGAGGAAAAGATGTCCTGGATTCAAATGCTAGCTATCCTCCATCTCTGCTTATAATGCTTATGAATTAAGGCAATAACGAGGCAATTCGAGCAGGGTGTATATATACGAATAAGAGACTGATCAACTGCAGTCCTAAACATTAATGGGAAAATTCAAACAACCAATACAAAATGAATTAAAATATTTCTAAACTGTTTGTAAATTTTTTTCAAGCTTTTATTCAAATAACTTCGAGAAAAAGTTATTCAGTTAAAGGTTACATAGAAAACTGTCAAACATGAACACGCAAAGGTAAAGATAAAGTGATTTCGGGGTTCGCCTATCAAGATATACAAACGATTTGAATACTTGCAATCGTGCCGACGTGTCATTCGGAAACTCGAGGTAAGCCAGATTCCACGATGAAATCAGCTAGACACAATGAAAACATAGAATAATTTAAACCTATCTTCTAGGTAAGGAATGAAAGCAACATAAGCATAAAATGAATGATTCTATACAACAAACATCAGTAGGTGGCAAAAGTGGATTGGGGGAACGACAGCTTTAAATTAGTTTGTAGTCACTTAGAAGTGTAGCTATTCAGATCAATCACCTATTCGAATTGTTAGATAGAAATAACATCTTTCGGACGTATCTCTTTAATCCCATAGGTTATTTTAAACACCACATAATTGTCTTTATTACTTCCCTCAATAGTATAGCTTTCATTTTCGTAAAATTAATAACTTTCTACAGATAAACATTTTCCTTGTATCTACATGAGATTGTATGTATGTCTGCGTTTCTGTTTGTCGTACTAAATCTGTGACTACGTAAACCGCGATACGAAATTACTATAAGGGTAAATGTGTAGCCAATTCAAAAGCTTTATCTACTCATTTCACACTCACAGTTCGTTTGAGGATAAGAATGTAGGGAATTAGTTTTAGAAGAATTTTGCATCATATTTTTGATCTTACGTTGAACTAATGTGACCAGTCAATGACTGTATACAAAGCCAAATAGGACATTCCGCCGCAGTCAACTACGTACTACAAATGTAGTAAAGAAACTATC